ACTGAAACGAAATGGCTGTTCAATGCGTTCAGGTTTTCAATAGTGATCTAGCTAAGATTAGTTCATGAATTGAACTGTGAAGATATTCACTTATTAAATGTTCTTATTTAAACATTAAAAATACACGCTGAACGAAGAAATATTCCCTTTTTGTCAGTTTCTCCTCAAGTTATACATATATATATAATACAGTTATATAACATACCCTTGTAGGCCGGGGTAATTTTACACTGGTTTTCAGGAGAACCAGACACTATCCAGCCTTTCACTTCACAACCCAAACACTACAGCTCAATCCCGTTTAACAAGAGTGCGCATCCACGGCCCCGCCTCACGGAATTCGGACTCAGGACCTATCAGTCTCGCGCTAGGCGCTTAACCAGCTAGATCACCATTGTTCTCAGTGAGTTACTACCTCACCACTGACTCGGTTGAACTCCGCTGATCATTGCTTCTCACTAGAACTCTAGGATATATATATCTTGATGCCAGTCACTAGTGAGCATATATTGATTAATATCACATTCTGATAGATACATTCATTTTTATGTATTATTTTGTTGGTTTTTTTATTATTTATTTATAGATTACTTATAATTATCATTAAAAATACTTTCTATCCAAATATGGATACTATTGGTAATTTACTTGCAAAATATTTAGGTCGTGGTAAACATTTACCATTAGAACCATATTTATTACATATACCATATTCATTAATGATGAGAAATCGATTTTCTATACAATCAACAATCAATCATTTATCATCTTGTATATCTGAAATCAATTTAACTAATCAATTAATCAATAAATCTTATAAAAATAATAATTTAATAGAATATAATTCATCATTAACTCCTATATCATTACCATCATCATCATCATCATCAGATATTCAATCAAATTTAATTAAATTAAATGAAACACCAATACATTTAATAAAACATTTACATCAATTACTGAATGTGAGTAGTCAATTAATGAGAGGTGTACAACCTATTCATCATTTATATGTTGAAGACATTTCAAAGAATTCAATAGGAATAGATCATCTTCATCAGCAACAACATCATCATCATCTTCAACGATCTAGTACTATACCTAGAATTATAACAGATTATAATAATTGTCAATATGATCAAAATGATATACATAAACGTCATCATCATCATCATCGACATTATCATACATTTAATGGTAGATTGTTAATAAAACAACAAAATAAAACTGATTTTGATGATGAAACTAATGATAAAGATTTTGATAAATCAAAAATATCTTCTATTTGGCCAGCAATCAATCCTAATAATAGAATAAGAAATAGTATTCAAGCTTCAAATAGTTCAATGAATATTGATCTTTCAAGTAAGAATTTTTTTAAAGAGAAAAAAGAAAGTAGCTAAGATTTTAAATTATATGATTAAAATCATTTTTGCTCTCAAATGCTGTGATGGAGAGAGTCAGCTCTCCTTCTTTAAATGCTTTCACATGGTCATATGCAGACAACCACTACCAGGGAAGTCTTATTCACTGCCTTCTCGTGAGGACAAAAAGGGAATTTTTGGTGCTTTAACGGGGCTAGTTGATATGGTGGATCTACTTAGGGGAGTTGGAAAGCCCTGATTACAAACCAATGGTGCACATGAGTTCCAGGATTCTGAAGGAATAAATGGCGTATGAACCAATTATTGATCACCGGCTACTATGGGACTGCATCTCCTTAAGATGCTCCACTGTCTTGTGGATCAGACCTTTAGGTCGAAGGCTTCGGGTGTGGCCCCCCTTTAGTTTGGGCATCCGGGCGAAATGTGGTACATATCTATTTGGTGCCTCCTTGTACCAACGTTTGTGACTAAATACACTGAAATCATTTACTTAACATGTAGTTTTACTATTTAAATTACAGGAATGAACGGATGTTCGTACTGAGAAGTGAACCCAAGAAAATCCAATCCTCAGGTACTTTCTTACTTATCTACGCCTGTTACTTTTTATGGAGGAGCATAGACCGCTCACCAGCACCTTTCATCCAACCCTGTCCTGGGCAATCCTTTCCAGCTCTTTCCAGTTGTTATTCATCCTTTTCATATATGATTCCGTTTTCCGATGTAATGTGTTTTTTGGCCTTCCTCTTTTCTGCTTCCCATCAGGATTCCAAGTTAAAGCTTACCTCGTGATGCAGTTTGATGATTTCCTTAATGTTTATCCTATCCACTTCCAGTGTCTTTTCTTAATTTCCTCTTTATCTGGAAGTTGGTTCGTTCTCTCACATATTAGGCTGTTACTGATGGTATCCGGCCAATGTATGTTGAGTATCTTGTGAAGACAACCATTTATAAATACTTGTATGTTTTTGATAATGATTTTAGTAGTTCTCCAAGTTTCAGTTCCGTACAGTAGAACTGTCTTGACATTGGTATTGAAGATTGTGACTTTGATATTGATTAAAAGTTGTTTTGAGTTCTATATGTTCTTCTTCTTGCTTTTCCAATCCTCGCCTTGACGTCTGCATCTGATCCTCCTTGTTCATCGATAATGCTTCTCAGGTACGTGAAGGATTCCGCATCTTTCTGAGTCTCGCCATCAAGTGCGATTGGGTTGGTACTTTCTAGTTTCACCGAACTATTCAGTTATTTCGTGTTAACAAAATGTTTTGTACCAACTACCTGACTTTCTTTAAAAGACGTTTGCACCATTGTCGAGGATGTTATGTTTGTAATAATTTCCTGTTATGTTCACTGTCAATGAGTACACTTACAATCACTATGTGGGTTAACTTCTATTGACTGCACGAAATGCTAATATATTCTCAAATTCTCAATCAAAACATCAGAAAAATTAACCAAGAATCTTGAATTCTTCAGACCTAAAACCTCATGTGATTATATGCAAAAAACACATTAAAAATAAGAAATCTAGATCTGCACGTTTGTGACACATATTTGCAAGATAAGATTATTATCAGAATGGAGGTTTGTAGAGATTGTAGTAATTTTAATAGTTGAATTCTACTTCATACAATGGATGAACGATTGTGTAAGATCATGGATCGATAAAAGTTAAACATTAACACCATTAAATCCCTGCTCTGTGATCCTGAGGCTAAGCGTTTGCACGCGAGACTGAAAGCCCTGGGTTCAAGTTCCGCATGCGGGATCATGGATGCACACTGTTGAGGAGTCCTATACTAGAACGAAACAGCTGTCTAATGATTCCAGGTTTATAATGATGGTCTAGCTTAGATTGACTCATGAATTCAACTATCAAGGATTAACCAAATCTTAATAGTGTGACTTGTTTCAAGGTAGACATAATTGAAGTTCTATTGGGAATTCCTGATTTAAATTGTTACCCTAGTTGAAGGTAGATATGGATATATTCTTATATTGCTGAATAATAGTTACATTGTTACATATATAAACTAGAGGATTCCAACTTTGTGGCTGAATAGTATTGTGTTAATCAAGAAACTATTTCCTTTTATGCATACTTTTTGGTACTTTTGCATCAATAACTTAACACCACCACCTTATAGGGGGGGGAGTAATGCATTCCGTTAATTCATGGGAAATATGTGACTAAACCAATCTAACTATTCAATACACTTTCGATACTTGGTTTATAATGGTTGAAAACGATATTTTATAGTGCTGTGGAGGTTGTAGAATTTTATAGTTGACATCACAGATTGATCTTAATTAAACAACCATTGAAAAGTAAGAATCCCTGGACATATATTTCATCGTTGTATGTGACTCCTAGTGTGATATATGCTACTTATGTCTGTCGACATTAATATGTAGCATCAATCAGAAGTGGAATTCCTGGAAGCAAAAGGTTGAAAAGATCCAATTAAAGCGGACAGAAATACCAACAGAGAATAGTTGTATTCTACGAAAACATTCTGTAATTTTGTATTAATTAATTGATTGGTTATCCGCAACAAATCTTTATTTGCTACACTAGATGTGTACATTTAAGACCTCACTAAACGTCGAACCTAGAACCCTCAGTTCTCGTGTCTTATTTATTTATTTATTTCAACACATAAATATTGGTACAAGAGGACACCAAATATATATGCGCCACACCATATTTGTGTGTGTGGGCTGTGATACTGCCCGGGTGCCCAGACCGAAGCAGATGGTTTTCTTAAGGGGCCACATCCCTAGCCTTTGACCTAAAGGTCTGACCCACAAAGCAGTGGAGCATCGTGGGGAGATGCATTCCCATGGTAGCCGGTGACCGAAAATTGGTTCATACGCCATTTGTTCCCGCAGGATACTGGAGCCCATGTGCACCATTGGTTTGGGATCCGGTTAAAGCGCAGGACATTCGCTTTTCATCCTCTCATTTTCGTAAACAACACCCGTGATGCGAGAAGGCAGTGAGTAGGACTTCCCTGGCAGAGGCTGTATACGCGTGGCCGTGTGAGAGCATTTCGAGAGGGAGGGCAAACCCACCCCATTCTCGGCCATACCAGGGTATCTAGCTAAAGTCAATACATAATTTGAAGTTCCATATTACTTGCATTTTCCAGTTGATTTAATAATAGTAAGACTGTTTTGTATTTATTACTTTCATTAAAAATTAGACACTATATCAGTATCATGAATCCTGATTTCACATGTTTCTTCACTTTCATAGCTATTGGTCATAGGAGTAGAGGATCAAAATGTCAAAAACAAACACAACAACAACAACAATACTTCACATATCCTTCAGCTCGATATTCATCTGGACATAGACCACCATTATGTCAAAACGGACATTTTCCTTTTGAATTAGATCCAAGAGAATATTCGTCCACTAATCAATCTCAGGAAGAAATTAACGAATCTTAAGAATTATTCACTCAATAGACAATATTTTACAAAAACCTTTGTGCCTCTTTGTTTTTTGAACTAAACGATTTTAATTAGATTCGGTTTCTTAATTTTTAACACTTTTAATCTGTATGAAATGTTCACTTCTTGTAAATAAATCCCTTCTCTTTTTTTCTAAATGGTTAATTCTACTCATTTGCAACTATATATTCGCTAACTTCTTGTCTATTCCTTACACGCAACATTGTACAGATTAATATTATTATAGTGTGTATAGCAATACTATTCATACTGCTTTAGATAATATTCTGAGGATGATATATATGCTAACTAACTAAACTAACAACCATTTGTGTTTGTATCATTGTGTAGTAGGTATACTGAGTCCTAAATCTCTCACCTTTTTTTACAAAAAGGAAAATAATTACAATGCCAATCCACTTGTTCGTTTATTTATTGTCAGTTCTTCTAAACGAATCCATATTCAAACTGGGAAGTTGTCGTGATTAGGAAAATTATGACAAATAGCCCTGATTCTATTTTCTTGTATAGGTATCATTGAGTGATATTAGTGTGGACAGAATTAGCTTTCTAGTGTTTCTTGATCAGAATTTGTTGTTATTACTGTCTTTACACTGAATATCAGGAGTTTGTGTATCTGTCAATGTCAGAGTAATTTGTTTTCTGTTTATGTAAGGAGTTAGATATTTTAAAGTCTCTTATGCCAAAAATCATAAGGTGCTTAGGAAGCATCTGTATTCAATGATACATACAAATCGGTAAACCTAAGAGCGTCATCTTTACAGCCTTCGAGATGAACTAAAGGATAAGTTTTACAGAAAGCTTTCTCTTCTACCACAGAACGTTAAGCCCCCTCAAGTCTTTATTGTAGCAGGAGATTTTAGCACTCAAGTAGATAGTTTAAATCAGGGTAAAAGATGCCCAGGTGGCTCTTACAGTGTCCTAGCTCGACGAACAGAAAACGGAAACCTTGTACAGCGATTAAACATAGACAAGTTTATTCTTGCCAAGCAATAACTTTTAGAGTAAGGGAAGATATCGACTAACACGATGACCCTCAAGACCGACCCAACTATAGACCCAGATAAACCTCACTTCCACTAGCCATCGTTGGTGGCAGAAGACTCCCGTCCACTCTGGGGTACATAATTCGGTTTCGATCATACTCTAGTGCGAGTGTGTTCGTCTTTTTTATTTTATTTTATTTGAACACATATATTGGTACAGGAGTGCGCCAAACATATATGCGCCACACAATTTCAGTTCATTAATTGCGTGTGGGCTGCGTTACTGCCCGGGTGCCCAGACCGAAGCAGGTGGTTCTCTTAGGGGGCCACACCCCGAGCCTTTGACCTAAAGGTCCGACCCACAAAGCAGTGGAGCATCGTGGGGAGATGCAGTCCCATGGTAGCCGGTGACCGACGATTGGTTCATACGCCATTTGTTCCCGCAGGATACTGGTGCCCATATGCACCATTGGTTTGGAATCCGGTTAAAGCGTCGGACATTCGCTTTTCATCCTCTCATTTTCGTAAACAACACCCGTGATGCGAGAAGGCAGTGAGCAGGACTCCCCTGGCAGAGGCTGTATACGCGCGGCCTTGTGAAAGTATTTCGAGAGGAAGGGCGAACCCACCCCGCTCTCAGCCATACCAGGGCGTTTGGGGGCTGGTTGCAGAAAAACCATGACAAGAATCTCAGAAGTGTATTTCAAGAACTAGAGACAGTCTGTTTATCGAAATGATCCGCTCAACCTGAAAGACTGGGACTATGGGTTGAATACTGAAGGATAGCTTAAGTGGTCTCCAACTACCTTCCTGTTGCCTACTGTTACTAAACAACCTAGTCTGAACAACTGCCCATTCGCGCATGAAGTTGAAAAATCCATAAGATGTCACAACCGGGAAACCACCGGTCCACGATTTACTTCCGGAGACGGTTGTCCGGTTTTAGCAGGTAGACTAATACTACTCAAAACCAGGAAAATAAGAACAATCCCACTCGACTAATCTTGATCGCCTCTATTTACAAGATAAGAATCCCACTGAGATAATCACACAGGAATCAGTTTACCTAATCGTGTCTACAATATTAGCCTCATTAATGACGCAGCGCTCAAATAGGGCTCATCAATAGAACAAAGAAAGTTGATTTTAGACTCAAAAATTGAGACTAAACATTCGCCCTTTCTCAGGTCCTGGAACACAGACATAACCATTGCCAAACAGCCACACCTGTATTTACCGAACCGAAGACGTTTAAGTATTTAGGTCGATAGGTTTTACGTCAATTCCTGTCATTAAAAAGCGTAACAAGAAAGTCCACTAACCTTGCGCATGCTCTACTCGAACACCAGTAATCAAATCAGAGCTCATCGTAAACCGTCATTGGACTTGACGAATTCAATCGGTGTTCGTCAAACTTGTTAATGTTCCCTATCTCAATCCAAGTTTACTGTAAATTTGCTTTTAGAAGTACCACATTTATCATCCATATCAGGAATCGGTCTCCTACCAGGAGGTCCACTCGTTGACTCCGAATACACAGACGAGATAGTTCTGGTCGCTACAAGCAACAAAGGGAACAGATCTGGTACGCATTTCTCTCCCTTCAAATGCAAAATTTTGCTTCAAGACAGGTTTTATGACGAAACCCACTTCCCATTTTGACGCAGAATGATGGGGGTAGTAGGCTGGAATAAGGCTAGGGGTGATTAAGCCTTAGTGTTACATTAATGCATGGAGACAGACTACGGGACTGAGTTATGTCAGTAGGTATAGACTATCTGGTTTTGACCTACGCAATTATTGTAAGCAATGATGCGACTATCTGTCATGGATGAGTCATCCACATTGATGCATGTAAACTTCTACCATTCAGTTCGGAAGTTCTTATTTCCCTTATATACACCAGTTATCATAACTTCGTATTTCAACCGTATTCGATGCTTTTCTTTTACTATTACCACTGCCAGTACACGGGAATGCGCCCCAATAATTTCATATCACTTGTCTAGTGAGGTGTGATGGTTTGGACCGATTTACAGAAGCGGCAGGCTGTATATAAAACTTGAATATTGGATACGCTTACATCAACGTAAATGTATGACATCAGTCGGAGTAGCACGTAACTATATCACAATAAATCTAAGCGACGATTATTTAGAAGTGGTGAGTCTCAACACTTGCATCAGATGCAACTGGAAATATTGAACTTACTCTTGCAAAATTATAAATTAATCGATCTCTTTTCCAGTTCATAAGTATTAGGCGACTAGATACTGAAATAAAAAGATGTGATGACGTCAAGCGACATATACTGTTTAAATTACAATTTAGGGCTTTAGTGCTCGCAGATGTAAATAAAAAAACTGTAATTGCTAGGGTGCTTATAGTAATCTATTCTTGATTTAATAATAATACGAAAGCAGTACAACGACTACGTAGTGGAATGTACTGAGCATCATATATGCAACCATTCGGGTAAGATGTTTTTACTCTAAGGCCAAACAATAAACAACTTATCCAATGTCTTTTATTAAGTGGAAAACATTAATGGTAGAAAAAATTAACAAAACACAATCGCACACGAAGATAAGGACTAAAAATAAAGTCAACACAAAAAATTATACACATGAATCATATTTGTTACTGCTAGAGGCATTCTAATATTGAATCTATCCTGTAGATTATATCAGCTTTCTTGGAACATAAATCGTCATTTGAGGACTGATATTGTGGTTTTGTCAACTTGCCAGTGAGGAGTTTTTCTGCCAGTTGGATACCTTCTTGAACTAGATCACGATATTGTTGATCCAAATGGTTGATGTCGTTCAACTAGAAAAATAAATATGACCGTTTTAACTTGAAATCCAGATATAAGAAGTAACTCAATAATATAACTACTGAGTCAACTTTTGGTAAATACTTTTTGTAGAAGGTATGAGCTTGACACATAGAATGTACGGATAAGTTGAAACACCCTACTCATAATACTTAAACAAAATCAACTGAATAGAAGCAAAATGGGACCTACTTTGTACTTTACGGATGTGGAATAGATAATAAACATTCCTAACTCTATTTGGCGTGATGAGTTCGAGGATGAGACTAGTTGGGAACAGTGAAAGTGGTCAGTGTATGATTTTGTGTCGTGATATGGAAAAAAGCTGTACACGATTGGTATTTGTCGGTCCTTCATGAATTCCTGGTTGGGATCCTAAAGACAGAGTATCACAGTGGTTTCATATGTTATCAGACATGATTAAGAATAGGAGCCAGAGATGATCCTAATGTAATTTTCTCTTACTCTCTTTATATGAGTAACTTCTTTAACTGAAACGATTCTTTTTGATTGCATTTTTCTTAACCGAACTACACTAATTATTTTTCAATCTCACTCAATTACATATACTAATTGTTGCGGTTTTTGTACAGATCTTTCTCTATCTCTTCATAATCTCATTTTTTGTGTTGCCCATATATACTTCGGGTATCCTTTTGCACCAACATTTGTCTAAATAAGTATCATATGCAGTGAAGAACACCCAAGATTATGTACATGACAAATCTCACCGTTCGTCTGCTTGATTATGTAGTGCATGGACTAAGGTAACACAATTTAGTGACCATGTGTCGAATAAATGACCAAACAAAGTGAAAATCCAGTCATACTCCATTACACATTTGAAGTTTGAGTAATTCAAGTGTTAAACTTTAAGGTAAGAATACTGACTGAAAACAAAAATTTATACTAAGAAGCCTACTTTATCTACTCCGTCCGGATATAAATCTCCTATTTTATTCTGAACTGACATCAACTGTTGATTTAGACTTTTATATTCCGCTTCTAATTTACGGCGATCAGTTGTGAATTGTGCACTATCTTTAGATCCTTTATATTTTGTCAGGGCATCTTCATAACATTGATACAAAGAAGAACGACATCTTAGCAAGGCTTGAGTTTCATCTACTAGCGTTTGTATTCGAAGGCGACGTTCATTTTTTTCATCCTTCGGCAAAATAGAAAAAGGTTCATTAAAATAAAATTGCATTCAAGGTAGTTAAGTAAATATTCAACCAGAAACACTAGATTTCTATACATGTTGAAATTTCAAGGATCACATATTAGTCAGAGGGGAATTTGTGCAGTGAGAAAAACATCCGTAAAGAGTAAGTTCCAACAAATTAAGTAGTAAACCTTGAGAATTGTGACTATCAGCTAATCAGTTCCTAACTTACAGATTTGAGAAGTCTGATGGACTTACCAACCCACCAAAATATCTTAGATACATTTAAAGTGCATTTGAGACTCATCTAATAAGCACAAATGGATTTCTATATACCTTTTAGATATAGAAAACAGAACAGGTGTTTATTGGTTTTACTCATAATTCGTAAAAATATCCCTGCGAAAGCGACAACGGGAACATATACCAATAAGGTAGCCAAATTCAGGTTTAGCTAATAGCTGAGAATTATAAAAAAAGGCGATGAATAGTGTGTACAACCACAAGTCAACACATGAATACGAAACTACGAATTGCTTTTTGATCAATAGACCATGGCTTTAGGTGGTGAACAGTGACAATCGAAAATACCGGCAATCACAGTTTAAATGACGATGAGACAAAATACAGGTAAAAAGACAACTAGTCAGTTCAAGAGAACAATGCATAAATTTAATGGTATTGGATCTAAACAAATTGTATTGTTGATCAGTAGGTCTAAACTTTAGTGGTTGACTTATCTTGCTGTTGGGATTTTGTCGGAAATTTGGTTAGCTATAGTTATAACCGCTTTATAAGGGCAATCTGCATAGGATGCAAAACCGTTTAATAAAATTGAGTCGCATACTTTTTATCAGATGTCCATCTGAACTTAGTAACTAAGAGGATAACACGATTAAGTTCGAGGCGAACGCTACTAGATTCGCGTTCAGGAGTGAAGATCAACTGTAAAACGCAAGTACATCCAACCGACCAGTTCTAAACAGGGCGAAACGTGCGCCCTGAAGTGCACTGCTAGCATCACTTTATATGTTTCTTAACTTGTTGGAATTTATTGACTTTATCACAACTAATTGCTATGGAGTTTCGGTCTATTTACATAACAGACCCACAACCAATGGAAGCCATCGGAATGTTCAAAACAGTCAGTCAAAACGTAGAACCAGTGAGTATGTACAACTTGCTTAATTTGCTACACCCCATTAGCACAAAGATGATGTTGTCAGGCCAAATCACAATAGTAGGGGTTTTAAGAGTATCGGTGGTAATAGAGAAGATTGGGCATCGAAAAAAATACAAATTGGTAAGGTAAAAACAAAAAATGGGGCATAATGAATTTAGAATTCGGGGGACACAAAAAATGGATGCACCTGGGCCATTGCGAATGATTTAGAAACATATCACTCAAAGTCCCTAACCATTTGTTACGATAATCAAGCGGACCCCAACCAGGTAATCTACACCTATGAACATAACTCGGTCCAATTGTCAACGACTTCATGGACTGATGCTACGTTCTGGTTTGGCCGTCCCATACAATCCTATACCAGTAAACACCGCCCGTCGAGGAAGGCGGTGATTGGGCATACTTAACACACGTCTCAACCACAGCTGATGAAGACTTACTGACTTCACTAGATTCCCTATCCTTATCTAGTACCCTATTCCTAGTCCAGGCATTGTCTACTCCGTGGTCCAAAACACAAGAGCAATGCATCGTAGATGCCTATGATCGAATATCAGTAAACTACGAATATCCTATATCCCCAGTGGCCATGTTTCAGATCTTTAAAATAGGACGAAGCAAACTCGTTTTCTGGTTAGAAGACGGATATCTTGCAAAAGCCAATCGAGCTTTCTGAATCCATGCCAAAATCTCGTTAGTCACCAGACCATCAATACTGATGAGACTACCGAGATAAGTGAAGTAGTCGACACGGTCAAACTCTTCACTCTTTATCATCAATTCAGGTGATGGTCCAAGTCAATCCCGAAGTAACATTTCACATTTAGACGGAGAGAACCGCATCCCAAACATGCTTGAGTTGCTGATTGCGGTGGTCAGAAGACTGCATTTTGCCAGCGTCTTCATTAAACAGAACTAAATCATCTGCACATTTAAACAAGTGGATCTCCACGTAAACGATGTGTTGAGTCTGATCATCTCGGGTTTACTATTTACGAGCTTAAATCAGACATCAGTATTATTGAGACTAATACTTTTTAGTTAAACTGGTTCCTCTATGACTGTCACAAGAGGATCTTTGTTTTTTACTGTAGATTAAGACGACCAGTGATTGGCACAGATCGGGTGAGACTGTGTTCAGTTCCCAAATTTTAGCTAAGATTCCAGCTAATCCGGCTGCTAAAAACTGGACTATCAACCTTAATAATCTCAGAAATTAGTCTAATAAGCCCTGTTGCTTTGGATTACTTATGGCCTCTTCAAACTCAATAACGGTTGGAGGATTTACACCAGTCTGCCACTCGGGTTGCTTGGGGATAGCGGGTAACGAAAGCGTGGATGAAGGTTAGTTGAATCAGTGTTCTGCCTCCGCTCTTTATTGTGTTCAGAGTTAGACGGGTTAAGTTTCTGAACATCAGTTAATAGATGCTGCTGAAATCCATTGATTCTTCATAACCCTTCGGTTTAAGTTACTAGTAGATATCACTGCTGTTTTCACAACTTTTTGGATATCATCCCAAGCTACCTTGGGGTGTATATCACTTATGTTTGACTAACTCCTTTAGTTGTTTCTAAAATATATTCCTGACTTTTTATAATTAAGTTGAACTCGAAGGGCTCTTTATGTGTGGACTTTCTACGTCCAGCAAGATGCAGACAAATACGTACTCGAACTAGAGCAAAATCTGAGTTTATATATGTGCCGCAGACTATGTAGAAGTCTTCAATCGAGCCCCTAGCTAGTGGCTATGTGATCTATGAGTTCATTAACGAGTTGATTGTGAAGATAGCCACATCAGACGCTATTTCTCCTTATGCTTAAAGTTATTTACCAGAAATAGACAGTTATTTGAGCGACAGACAGCCATCATTATCTGTCGACTGAGCTACAACACCGGAAGATCCATCCAAGTGACTTTCGGTTTGGTTAATCTTACCTATGTGATTATTACCCGACCGTTGTTGCTACCTTGACGTGGTGGTCGGGCTTGCCTATCGTGATGAAGCAACCGAGCTATACTGGCTGGAACAACCGTTCCTCAAGGTCCTACCATGTCAGACAGGTCGGTTGAAGAGCGGTAAGACTAAAAGCAACAAACCCAAGGTCCGAAGGCGAAGTCGTACTGCTGACTGTACAGAGGTGTGACAGCAGTAAGGTGTTTCCTTCAGACAACCAGCATGACAGCGATGCTGCCTTCCCACAAGGAGGGGTGGGGTTAGAAAAGGTCGACCCTAAAAATTCATACCTCGCCTTATCCCACGGATATCCGTCTCCGGCGGTAAGGTCTCAATAAGTACGGAGCTAACACAAAAATTACCCATAACAAGGTCGTGTGTGACCGACCTCAAGCAGTTGTCCCTTGGGCACTGCGGTCACGCTCTCAGGTCACTAAGACCACCTTTAATCCAAATTCATTTTCAGGTACCTCCAGAACAACCCTTCCACGGTGTGGGCAACCGGGAAGTGAAAACCGCCCTCATACCTCTAACAGCACTCAAGACCACTGTATTCATAATCAACCTTCCTCTTCAATTCCTATTATTCCTCCTACATCGACTTTCAACTTTAAATTTCCTCTCTCGGCTTCCACCTCAAGTGTCACCATAGCCAACGATTCTAGTGCGCAAAATACCGTCCCAGGTCTACTGAAACCTCGCTCCAAACTACACATTGGAGCCTTCAACGTACGAACCCTATGTCAAATCGGTCAGCAGGCTTCCTTGGCTAAAACCCTAGAGTCTCTTACCATTGACGTGTGCTGTGTCTCCGAAACACGCATACAGGATTCCAGTGTGGTCATTCACTTGACCTCACCTCGGCAAAACGGAGAGCCAACGAGGTACACTCTTCGTGTATCTGGTGACCCGATGGCAAGTTCTCGTGGACTGGCAGGTGTAGGCATAGCACTAAGCATGAGGGCCGAACAAGCACTGCTAGAGTGGATCCCCGTCAACAGTCGTCTATGTGCTGTTCGGCTGAACGGCTACGTAAGAACTCGGAAGGATAGGGACACACGTCGTTGCCTTTTCGTCGTTTCTGCCTACTCTACAACTACCCTCCATTCCCAGACAGTGTGAATGGAACATTGAAGTAGGTCCCCCGACTCTTGCTGAAGTTCAAAAGGCTATAGTTAATCTGAAACGAGGAAGGGCAGCTGGTCCAGATGGATTGTCTCCAGAGGTCTTTAAGGATGGTGGTCCAATTTTAGCGATTAGGTTGACTAATATTTTAGCTAAGATCTGGGAATTAGACTTTATCCCATCTGACTGGTCGCAATCACTTATCGTCCCAATATATAAGAAAGGGTCAAAATCATCCTGTGACAACCACAGAGGGATTAGTTTAACAAACATAGTATCTAAAATACTGGCCTCGATAATTATCAAACGCCTAACTAAGACTCGTGAACTACAAACTCGAGAGAACCAAGCTGGCTTCAGACCTGGTCGTGGCTGCATCGACCACATATTCACCATTCGTCAGGTTCTAGAACACAGGCATACCTATCGGCGTCCGACGATGGTGGTCTTTCTTGACTTAAAAGCAGCATTTGACTCGGTAGACCGCGAGACTCTGTGGCAGTGTCTGTCATTGAAAGGCGTACCTCAGAAGTACATAAACCTTGTGAAGGCTCTTTACTCGAACACTACTAGTCGAGTCAGGGCTTATGGCGAACTGTCATCTACTTTTGCAACCTCAAGTGGTGTCCGTCAAGGCTGTCCACTTTCTCCATTTTTGTTTAACTTCATCATAGACCTATTGATGGAAATAACACTCTCGTCGACTGAATTCTCGGGTATTGATCTCCTTCCAGGAGGTCCACTTATCGACTTAGAATACGCAGATGACATAGTCCTGTTTGGTGAAGACGCTGACAAAATGCAGTCTTCTGGTAGCACTAAGCAACAATGCCAGAATGTTTGGAATGCGCTTCTCTCCCTCTAAATGCAAGTTGTTGCTTCAGGACTGGTCTGCGTCAACACCTGAACTAAGGATAGGGAGTGAAGTAGTCGAACGCGTTGATAACTTCACTTATCTTGGAAGTGTGATCAGCCCTAATGGGTTGGTATCGGACGAAATCTCAGCACGGATTCGAAAAGCTCGTTTGGCTTTCACCAACTTACGTCACCTATGGCGAAGGCGAGATATCCGTCTATCAATAAAAGGACGAGTATACTGCGCGGCACTTCGTTCTGTTTTACTTTACGGCTGCGAATCGTGGCCATTAAGAGTAGAAGACACCCGTAAGCTACTAGTATTTGACCACAGATGCCTTAGAAATATTGCTGGCATCTGCTGGGATCACCGGGTAAGTAATAGTGAGGTTAGACGCAGGGTATTAGGGAATGATGTTAAATCATTTGATGAGGTTATGAATCTTCATCGACTGAGATGGTTGGGCCACGTATTACGTATGCCTGAACACCGATTACCACGACGTGCAATGCTAACCGGGGTAGGGGATGGTTGGAAGAAAGTTAGGGGCGGCCAAACCAAAACGTGGCATCAGTGCCTGAAGTCACTAACTTCTAGTCTGAGCCACGTTGGTAGATGCAGACTACTTGGTTGGGGTCCGCGTGACTTTCGTAACCAATGGTTGGAGACTCTTGGGGACATGGCTCGGAATCGATCACAATGGCGTCGGTGTATACACTCCCTGTCTTCCCTTAAACTAAGAGACTAAAATCACTTCATTCTTTCTGTCTACGAACTAATTCTTTCTTCCTATACTATATCCTTATTGCAACCTTTGACCTAACCACTCCTATGAATCCGCTGTTCATCTTGCTGTGCTAATGAAGTATGGCAACCTGGACCGATGCACATATGTGCCTGGTCCTACGTTGTAGCTGACTGACTGACTGATGTGATTATTAAAATCATCTGTCATTATGACTACGTTAGAGCGTCTAGCTTTTTAAAGGTTAGACAGCTCCCCATACGATTCATCTTTAATTTTATCTGAGCTGCAATCAGTGGGAGCGTAGGCAAAATAGCTCGGATGAGTCACCACCGACTCAAGGTGACAGCTACGACCGGGAATACTCAAGCGAAATCAACCGGAGTTTCCCGTTGGCTCGGTTCTACATTTTGATGAATACTTATCAGATACTTAGCAAGTGGATTTCATTAAGACAAGGTCGCTGAGACTTGAAAAGTACTTGTGAAGACGTGCTGCCTGTATTTGCTTTATTCTCAATTTTACACAAATGCATTAGTTTGCTTGTGATCTTAAGACGACTAGTCGGGAAAAACACAAGGTATCTCAGACTCTCATACTTGTTCAATTATTAAATGGATAACCACAACATGGTAGCCAAAAAACTTTCCAAGAAACTTACCTTGTAGATCGAAAAGTCCAAGCGGACATAAATAATTACAGCACCGAATATACATAAGAACGCTAAAATCAGCATCATAGGTTCTCGGAGGATCATTGGCAGAAGGAAGCGATAATTCACCTAGGTATTAAAAATATATCATTAGGTTTTTATAAAATGGCTGAATAATTATTGTACAATTAACGACACAATTCATGCACACTTAAGTTTTTGCTTTGACGCACACGAGATAATTAAGCTCTAATACATTGATTTTGGATAATCCGAGGGTGACTACAAGTAAATTGTCAAGAATTCAAGTCTATAAAATCTGGGGATTGCATTGTACAGTGATATATTGGTTTGAAAATGATTTTGTAGTAGTCAACGCAGAATCCTTTGACACGTTAGACAATCAGGTATAACTAAGAATAAAACTCAAATTACCAATCTCCATCACCAAAACGACCCAGGATGTCGACCACACAACACTTCAATTGCTGTCTGGTCGCTATTATGGTGTATACAAATCTTAAGAACACTTATCTAGGTAAATCACTGTTACTTCAAAATACGTCTAGAACAAAAATGAAAATCTCGTCTGAATCACCTAGCACGAACAAAAATACAGCTAAAATACAAGGGAAACGATAACAATAATACAGGAACTACGTACATTTGCACTCATTTCACGAGCCACCAAATTCCCTGGTACGTTCGAGTGGGAAGTCAGCTCTCCTTACTCAAATGCTCTCATATGGTCACGCGTATACAGCCATTGACAGGGAAGTCCTGCTCACTGTCTCCTCGTGGCGGGGGTGTTACTTGGGAAATTAAGAGGACGAAAAACGAATATCCAGTGCTTTAACCGAGTTGGCTGACACGGAGGAACCACCTAGAGGAGTTGGAAAACCCTGACTCTAAACCAATGGTCCACATGGGCTCCAAGATCCTGAGGGAACAAAAGGCTTATGAACCTATTCTTAGGCACTGGATACTATGGGACTGCATTTCCCTACGTTGCTTCAATGACTTTTAAATTAGACCTTTAGGTCAAAGGCTCGTGGAGTTGCCACCTAAGGAAACCGCATGTCTCGGTTTGGGTGCTCAAGCAGTACCCCAGAACTCACACACAAAACATTTGATTTATGGTGAATATATTTGGTGCCTTCTTGTACCAACGTTTGTTTAAATAAATAAAAATACTCATTTGGAAAACGTGAATATTCGTGAGAAGAGGAGAACTGTCCTTATACATATAGATATATATATATACACATAAGTTTTTACCTTGAAATCTTGAATGTGTTCATCGACAAGATTTGCAGCTTTGCAGACAATAACGGTTCGGCCTGATGTGTCTAAGTATGTTTTCAAATTTTCAAAATGCTGTTCATGAACTGGAAAAGGTGTTTCGAATTGAATATCGTCAGAGGTCTCGGGGAGAACAATTTTCAGCGTTAAGTTGCGAATGAATTGATCCTTGTAAACACGGTCAATGAACGGCATTACAAGAACAAACTTAGAACCTAGTGAAAGTAATCAGACAATTAGAAGCCAGTTTGAAAGGAGTAACTACATTACTGTGGAGTTATCCACGGAATAAACTGAAGTCTAATGACGGACATAATAGTAGATACAATTGCTTTAATACAATAATATTGATGCGTATATAGATGGAGTTTATCTCTTGGAAAAGATGACTATTTAGATTGGCAGCTCCGGTAAGCGCAACTACACTTGCATAATCCCCCTAAGAAAACCACTTGCTTCGGTCTGGGTACCCTGGCAGTATCACAACCCACACACAAATCAAGTGACTTGTGGCGCATATGTAATCGGAGTCTCTTTGTACCAATATTTGTGCCCAAATAAATAATCCACTTCAAATATCTCCATGTGGACTTGATGGACAACTAAGCACTATTTTATAATAACGATGCTAAAACCTACGCATATGAGCAACAAACTTACCACTGTGATAGAGGAACTCATAGGCTGGGATGTTGTATCCTATTGTGTAGCGCGTTTTCCATCCACCCATCAACGGGAAGCGCGGAATGAGAGTCACCTCCACGGAATCTAGCAAGTTTTTGACTGTGCTTGTGCTTATATTGCCAACCTCATCGCGATAGTAAATGTCCTTTGCAGATGGTGGTAAAACTGTCTTAAGGGAGTTGACTGCTACCTGTTGTCCGACGCCATAATCAAAATCCAAACGAGAAAACGAACCACGCAACTTCGCACCCGTGTTCACGATTTCAAGCGTTTCTTCAACCGCAATATTTCCCCAATGCGATACTTCGATGAGACGAGTCATATCAGTGACCGTCAGGAATGGAACGTAATACTCGAAATGTAGGACAAGTGGCTCCTAACAACTTATTAGTAATAATAAAAACTCACCGTCGAGAAGGCTGGACGGCTTTCGTAAGTACCATAGACTAAATTATTTCCATTTATGACAGGTGGGATTGACGTAGCAGTGTGAGTTAGAAGTTGACCCTTTGGCAAGTGAATGTACGTTAGCTGATTGTCAGTCAGATACGGGGAATAAAAGTAAGCATTGCCACTAAACTTGACGAACTGCTTATCAGCTTGATAAATCTCAGCAGGTCTTGGTTCTAACAATTCAGTTAATACAATGTCCACAAACAAATGAATTTGTTCGGTCGACGGTTTTCCAAGATCTATAGAGTACGTATAAGGCATGCCGGTTGTTGGCTTTACAGGGACTTTCCGCGATGACTTCAGGTCTCCACACTGAAGTATCAAAGTATGAAAGTAATCCTAATTACCGATGCACCGATGAAGGCCAGATGTTTCCATTCTCTTTCTTCAATGACAAGTTGGTACTTAGCAGGTGTTTCACTCAGTAGAATATCATGATGTATCTTTACAATGTTTCCTTTAAAGCGTATCGTACGAGTCACATTGGTGTTTTTCAAGCCTAGAACAGGTACTACCAACAGCAAGAAAACGAACAGCATCAGTAACCGAGAATTAACACTCAGTGAACAACTGACTGAGGTGGATGCATACAAACGAATATCCAAGATCAAATGTCCAATATTTTAATGGAGAAAGAATATAAACTACTCGATTGTTTTGAACTCTCACCTCAATACTTAAGTACAGCTCCAAGTACTAAGAAGTGTCTAGCAATCAAGGACAGCAGTTTAGCCATCAAACTGAACTGATCATATTGAACTCAACCGTTATTTTCCGTTTGTGTGTCTTGAGTACGGGTAGATTCGTTTTCCCCATGAAAACAGCGATTATGTAACCAATGGTCACCATCTAATGCAAACCTGCGAAGGTTAGACCCAAAAACGTTAAGAGTAGCCAAGCGGAATTTCATGGTTAATGTAGCTAAGGGTTTTGAGGCTATAGCGATAAATAAATCGACAAAATCAGTAGCTCTGTAAGCCTTCCACATTTTGGTGCTGACCGCACTAGTTTAGCTAGACTTACCCAGCTGAATGTGCTTGGCCCCTCATCCTCAACAGAGCACGAGTGGGTACGCCATACTGCACGTCAACAACCGCTAGCCACTTCCCCATATATCGATAGTCTACCTAATATATCTTCCAACTCCTTCAGTCATTATTTCCGATTTGACCACGTTGACACACTTCGATTGTAAAAGTGTTACTGGTTAAAGCTTTCAACAACAAAACAATGGCTGACAGATATCCGATACCATACATTCACAACTTTGCTAATGGCATGGAATATGCCGCCAATTTTTCGAAGACTGACCTGGTCAGACCTTAATATCATATTCACATCTTCTTATAAGACATATCAAAAACAGTGTTAACTATGCCATTCGGTTTGTATAAATTTTGGCTCGTCGGATTGGCTAACGGAGCACAAACGTTTCAGCGATTCATTGACCATGTCATAAAAGGTATGGCAGTATATGCGTATACCGGGGGTTTGCCAGTATCCAAAGCCACGGGGGTGATCAGCTACAACAACTGAGACAGTTATCCAAGAAACGTCATAAGTGTAGCATCTCTATGAGCGTTGAGAAATATGGATTCGGAGGAGAATTCCTCCAATTTACAGGTCAAAAGGTAACTTATCAAGGCACCAGATCAGTTCCCGCAGAATTTACTGCTATCCGCGACTATCTGTTACAGACATTTTAGAACTCCAAGTGAGCTATAAACGAAAAGATGATGCTGGTTCGGTGAAAGGAAAAAACGCCATTAGCCATCATAACTGGTGCATCGATCGTGGCAGTGACAGCTGTATTTCAGCCTTTAGTATATAGCACACCGGCACTATATTCATTTTTCTCAGAGACTGAATCCTACTTGGACGAGAAATGGTAAGTTCGAAAGAGAATTGCCGGTGATTTATATGTCAATAAAGCATTTCTGACAAACGGTGGAAGGTACAATCTTTATTGTGTACACATATCATAAACCTGTTGCGAAAGTATTAAATGCCAATCAATACAATTATTCCCCAAGGGAAATTTGATATAGAATCTTCCAGTTCGTTCAATGTAAAATATGTTAAAGACGATGATAACAAAATATAGGCCACGTTTCCTAGAAAACGATAAACGCACCCACTCCAGACGGAATCGTCTGTCACAATCTAGCTGAACTGGAAAAAGGCGGATGTTGAATTAAGATCCAGTAATAAAACTTCTTTGTTGTTTGCAGACGTTCAGCTAAGTATAGTGAAAGTTAAAACACGAAGTTCAGCGAGGGGATCTCTTTTCAACGAATTTACATGTGATATGTCTATAGGCCGTCGACGGCCGATAATCCCGTGTTGATTAATACAAAAAATCTCGTAATATATGAATAATATATTGCATCCTGAAATATAAGCCGTAATCAGACTTTTCAACAAACGTTTCGTACGGCTCAACATGAGTCGTAATGTAATGTAATGTAATCGGACACAGTCATCAATGAAATGTCAAAACCGATCGTCCTGTGATAGGTTTTCCCATCACCCCGACACTAAATTTGAACATAAACACATACATACATGAGATTAATGCCCAAATTCGAATGGCTAAAACTGTATTTTTACCTGCATCGGTAGATTTAAGCAGTGGCCTGTAGCAGTGTCAATAAAGGACACCCAGGCTGGGACTGTAGCTAAAACCTTAGTTGGCAGTTGGATATTTTGTTATGGAGTGCCAGCAAATACTACAACAGATAGATGAGCTCGAATCAAAAGTTCCTTATTCCGGCAGCTCACAGAACTTATCGTTATCTTACCACCTCATGGCAAATGGTATGGTTAAGCGACTATGTCGGTAATTAAAAGCCTTTCTCAGGACTATCCTTGTCAATGATGATTGGGCCAATAAGTCTGTTCTGGTCATGATATGTTTGAGAACATCAATAAATCGGGACATCGGATGTTGTCCTGAATGCTCGGCCTATGTTTACTTGTAGAATATTCCGCTCAAAACAAAAGCACTTTGTGGTTAACTATGTACAACATATAAAGAAGCGCGTGAACAATTCGAAAGTAACACTGCTTAGACTAAAGTGACAACAACTATATGTACTGTAGGAACTGCAATAATAGCGTTCATCATAACAGATAATATACAATCTCCTTCGCAGCTGAATTATGGCGGTTCATTTAAAGTGGTTGGGAGCGATGATAAAATGGTTAGTATAAAAAAAGCTGGTAAAACGGACCCAATTAGTATCGACGGAGGTAAATCAGCCTTCATTGAAAGTGATCATCAATCGACGAACGCAGATCCCTCAGAAACCGTCACATCACCGAGACGTGAAATTCAGCCGTTAACGACGGGGATTAAGAAGCGACTCCAGTAACGATGTGGTGTGGTCGAAGAGTTAAGTGGTCGCAACGGTACATAACCACGATTTTGAATTAAAATTATCGCTCACTGTTTTTAATATCCATGATTTTAATTCCTCTTAATCTTACACGCGCACATCGTAAACCTTACATTGTTTCTCATGAAATGCATCATATTTCGTATACTTCGATGCTTATATATATGATCCTTTAGTAACTCTACCATATGATTTTGATCCTCTATCATTATTTAATCTGGCCTGACGTGCACACGAAAACTCAGACATACAAGTACAAATAACAGCTTACATGATATTTCTATCCTGCACGTTAATTTGAACAACCCAATGTTTTCTGCATATCAAGACTATTTTGTCCAGTTCAACACTATTTGTAGATAGAGACATTTCTTGGATCTTGATTTACAGGGAGGAGATATTACTGCGTCACACCTACGCTTAGGTCTGTTTACGTCTAATATTTTCAAGCGCTTAAAGTAACTTGTCTAACAGTGTTGTTCAAACAGTAACAATTAATCTGCTATTATTGTGTCTGAATAAACATGCATGACCACGTGATACAATTTACACACATATCCATGTTTCTAGCTGCAATGTTAGTCACTTAAATCGCTTGATGATATATATATCCTGAAATCTTATCGGTTCATACTACTCTAAATTCGCTTATGTATTCGCTTGTTTTCATCTACTTGCATTCTCATTGCTACTCGTACTCACTTTATCTGCTTGGAGCCTTATGACCTGTGTTGTTCAATAGCATACTGTGGTCAACGCTTCATATTGTTTTCTGAAATTCATACACCGTTGGGTTTTATCGAATAACGGTTATAAAAATGAATAATATACTAAGCATTAAGAATTAAATTGATGATATTCTACTACGCATTGATCTCTGGACAGTCTGACAAACATCACCTAGGTTAAGAATTACTAACAAGGACTAATCATGTATATGCCATTAACTGGCAGATGTTGTAAACGACGCATCTCCTGCAACACACTCTTGCCATTAAATTTCTTCAGTGGCCCCATGTTTGTTCTGTACGATCATCAAAGTAGCCAGAAAACCTGGATATCATGTGAGGGTGATCCACGTTAAATATTAGTCGCGAAATGTGACTTTGTAACAACATAGAGTGACTGGTTAAGAGCTAACTACGAATACCCAGGTAAATGTCAGAAAATTATAGCCCAAGTGCTCATCCACTTCCTCGTCTTCACAGGGATTATATTTCCTATTATTTTATATTGAATGTTGAAAAGCTTTATGTGTTTGATAAGGTAACCTCGAGTTCCGTCACACCTTCTAGGAGTTCAAAATAGGGACCTGTTTACTAGTAGTTCGGTTTCAATCATCGGTAGAACGAGGGGTACTCATTGGTAAGAGAAATTCAACCTGATCTACGAAGCCACACTATTTTCATCCAACTCAAGCAGATCCCTGACATCCATATAGATCATCCATATTGGGAACATACCAGTGCTAAACGCCTCCTAACATATCAACTGTAAGTGTCTAGTTGTCTACTTTTCGCACGTAAATCTTAATGTTCTACACTATTTCGGAATCAAAAGCTCTGGATTTCCAGTAACTTACTTGATACAAAAGTCTTTCAGATGGTACGGGTTACCGTTATTTTGTATTCAAATATTGTTACTCATCACGAGTGAGACTGAAAGTCTGTAACTGATTAATAGCTGCAAGGTTGAATATCATCAATTTCACTGTGTTTTGGATATTATTCTTTTCTCAAGCTTTTGGGGCGTTTATTGTTACCTTGAATCTTTTGAGAACACGACTGATACCGAATTCACGGGTTATCTTGAAATTTCTTTCCCTTCTCTATAAATATATCTTCTTAACAGCACGGAATCACATTTTGTTGGTAAATTAGAATAACCTCAATTCCCTACCTGAACTGGACATGTCATCTGGCGCAACTACCAACGGAAGCATGTCGCTAATTAATGAGTTTCCTGTTCATCCAGTATATATTTAAATGCCTGATAACACTGCTGTAGAACCCACTTATTTTTGGAAAATCTATGTAAAAACTTGCTTATACTTTCTTACAAACCATACCATATACGTATTTCTTCGCACTTAAATCCCTTATTTTTTCTACATATCATCGTGGAAACATGAAAATCACATAAAATGATCATTGCTCCTTTATATTTTGCCTCAAAGGA